CATAAATTTTTACATATTCTGTTAGTGTTACTATTTTGTAATCTATTCCAACATTTTTTGATTCTAAGTTACATAATGATATAGCCATTCTAATGGGATGAAGTTGATATTTAATAGTTAGTGGAATGTATCCTTTAGTTCTGGAATTTGCTATATAGGTTGTTCCCAATTTGAAAATATTTTTAAAGAGAATATTATGAAAATTGTCAGGCATTTTTTCAATTTTGAAATCTAGGATAAAGATTAGATTATCCCTTTTATTCAATTAGAATGAAAAATTGAACAACTTTACCATTAAACTGTTGAAAAGAACAAAACACCTTTTTATATTTGAAATTTAAATTTTGAAATTGAGTGTAGCTTGTAAATGACAAACTATGATTATTAGAGACAATCATTGATATGTTTTTTGCAATTTTATATTTTTTATAAGATTTTAAGTAGAATTGACTATTTAAACAAATTTTCGCCAATGACGTCATTGTTTCTCGATAGAGATTAAACGTTTTCTTCCGGTATCTTCCGTGAAGCGAAAATTTATTTTCTCCTTTCTCCAAAGCAAAATAAACTAAAAAAAAGAAAAAAAGTTATTTTCTATAAGAATATAAAAGAATTTAATTTCTTTTCTCTTTACACAGTTGATGAATTTTAAAACATTTTAAACAGAAGAGATTATTATTTGAATTATCGCTCATATTAACATTATACCTGTTGGAAATTTTATTTTGTATGTATAATAATTGATGACAAACAAAACATGCTATTTACAATAGTAATGAGTTTTCCTTCTCTACTAGAAGAGCAGTTATTTTTTCTGTAAAAAAAAAATTTATAGTTGAGCAAGTTTGTTAAAAAATTCTTTTTTTGGATATAATTACCAGTTGTCTGTTTGCAAACCTGTGATATAAAATGTATTGTATCGTATCCCATTGACAAACAAATTCTTTTTATACTTTTCGACGTAAGATCTGTGTAGAAGCCAAGTGTGTCTTTACGATTATTTGATAATTGCTTTATCATCAATTGACCATAAATATATAAATGATTTTCAATAATTGGTTTAATTATGAAAGTAAAATTTGTATTATCAATTCGAACAGAATTAACTGGTATAGATTTTACACCGCAATTCATTGTACATATAATGGAAAATTGATTTATTAATATCGGACAAACAAGTATGAAAATATTTGAAAAATTCATTTTTGTTTTTAAAAAAAATTTCTTCAACTTTGTAAAAGAAATAAAAAAGAAATTCAAGACTTTTGTGCTTTTAAACAGCAAATGACTTTAATGAGTTGTATAGGCGACATTCAATACTATTTTAATTACATAAAAAAAATTTTATTGAAAAGCTCTAATTAAATGATTCACTTATCGATGCATGAAAAATGAATTTTGTTCTTTCTGTTTACATCTTGATAAGGCATCAAGTACGTCAGGCAATTGCTCAGAAGAACATTGATCATTACTGTTTTTTTTTAAAAATGGTCAAATTCTTCTCATCAGTTCAAGAAGAGAAAGAAGATTCAAATGATAATGTAGTTTCTGTTCTAGTTGACAACAATTTGGGTACTGCTCCAATCACTCCAATAATTTTACATTATAATATGTTCATGTTCTAACTTTACATAACTAAGATTCAAATCTCATTATCCTCAATCACTCTCTCTATGGTACTCATCCATTCCAAAAAGAAATTTAAGTATGAGTACAATAATGTTTTCTGGCTTTAGATAAAAAAAATTTGCTGTTTTAAAAAAGATATTTGACAAGCATTTATTGAGAAAAAGAGAAAACAAACATTACAAGAGAGCATGCCAATGTAATTGTGACAAACTGATAAAAAAATATTGTATGACACACAAAATTTAAATGTTATCAGTACCATCCATAATAACGTTTGGTCCAATATCGATATCCTCAACATCCGAATCGTTGTGAAAAAATGTTCTGGAAAACGAGACGTTTCTCTGAAAGAACTCAACACCTATTTCCTTTACGTAGCACGATTCAAAAGGATTATTTCGAATATTTAATTTTGAAAGCATTTTTAATTTCGTAACCGCCATTATTAATGGAAACGCTTGGCGATTGTCTAAACTGCAAGATGCTATATTGAGCTCTTTCAAACACTTGCAGGTTTTACCTAATTCATTAAATATTTGGTCGCTATTTTCATTAAGTTTATTAGCTGATATATTTAAATGATTTAACAGAGGCGATTGGCTTAAAACTGTTGCAAGATATGGTGTAATCTTCTCATCAAAACCACAACTTGAAAAGGATAAAAATTCAAAATTATTACCCCTAGAGGCGAGACTCCTGAAAATTTCTTCTCCTAATTTAACACCAAAATCATTAAAAGATATATTTAATTTAGATAAATTGGATTGATTTTTTAACGACTCAGCAATCAATAATCCATTATTTGAATTTAAAAAACAGTTACTAATATCCAAGTTTGTCAAATTTGTACAAACTGTTGAAAGTGCTTTTAGAAGATTCTCTCCAGTGCTATTTTCAAATTTTATATCTGATATAGTTAATTCCTGTAGGTAGGTTTGTTTTTGAATTGCTTTTATTAGAAAATGAATTGCAGTCTTATTAAGTAAACAATGACTGCAATTCAACTGCATTAGAGAGCGACAATTGGTGGATATAACTGCAAAAAGTGATTTCCCCATTTTTCTATTATCTATATCACTCATTGAAACATTTATATTTGTCAATCCTCCAAATCCTCTTGTGGTATTCAAATCTGAATTTTCTCCACTAATAGAGAGACTTAAATGACAATTTTCCAGATTTAACTCTCTAATCTCTTTGCAGTTTTCCCAAATAATCGTCAAAAATGATTGATTTTCGATTTTCGACGAAAAATCATTATGGGATAGGTCGAAAGTTTCCAGTCTTTTTAACCTTTTAACCCCTTCCAATAGATTCTCATGAATTGTGGAGTTTAAATTGCAGTTGGACAAATTGAGTAGTTTACAATTATCCATATCTTTAGAAATATATTTAAATATTGTATTTCCGACTGTATTTCCTAATTGATTATTCGAAAGATTTAAGCTTTCCAGTCGCCACAGTTTCTTTAAGGCAACAGTTAAACTCTTGTTAATCTGTTCATCAAATTGGCAAGACCCAAAATCCAATAGGGCAATCATTTTGCAGTTGTTTGCCAGAGTCTTCAAAATAGAATTTCCAACTTCTGATTCCAGTTTATTTTCCTTTAAAATTAGCTGGGAAAGGTTTGTTTGTTGCGAAATGACATTGTTCAACATTAGTCCGTGAATACTACTCAAACCACAATCAATTAGTTTTAAGCACGTTAATGTTCTGCAATCTGTAGAGAGAATTTTAAATATTTCATACTTTTTCTTATCATTAAAATCCTTATTACTGGAAATTTGAATTGTTTTTATTGATGACAAACTCTTTAAAGCCTGTTTGCAAATAGCAAACTTTTGGTCATTTTTAACGAAAAGTTCTAAATTTAAATTTTCAAAATTAATTGAATTTGTATTGAAAATTTCAAAAAGTTTTTTAAATGGTATTTTTCTATGGAGAAGAGAAGGAGAATCTTTCAAAAATGTATTGACAAACTTTAAAATGGAGTTTACTCTTTGAAGATTAAATTCTTGACTATTAATGAATTTGTTCAAGTTAAGTAAATGCCAATTGTCCAAATAATATTGACTAGAATTTGAATTGAGCACTTGAAGGAAATTTAAATTTGATATGATGTTTGAAATTTCCATTAAATGCTTAGATTCTAATTTATTGCCAAATATATAAAATTCTAATGGTTTTGCAGTTGAATTGAGCATCTTCATTAAAAAATCTATAATTCCAGTATATTCAAATTTGTTATTGGAAATATTCAACACTTCCAGATGAGTTAAACAATCTAAAAGAGATTTAAAATGCTGAAGGAAATTGTCTGTTAGATTGCAGTTTGAAATGTTGAGTAGCTTTAATCTATTTAAAGTAAAATATTTTTCATCAATGTAAATACCATTTAAATTATTCATAGATAAATCTAAACTATCAATCTTCACCAGTTTATCATTGTTTGGGAATGCTTTATAATCTAATTGGCAGTTTGTAAAACTTACTATTCTTTTGTCAACTTTCTTTAAACTCATGTAGACAAATAATCTCTTTACTATTGATTGATTTAGGTCATTGTTAGTTATAACTACTTCCTCCAATCTATCAAATTCTTTTAATAGCTCGAACAAATCTTTTTCAGCTATCTTCTCTTCCGTGCTATCTTCATTCTCTCCATTTGATATCTTATTCAATTTGAATGAAATCAGTTTGCCTTTTTCAACACATTTTAATATGTTAAAAATTGCTGTTTTGTTGAAATTCTCTCCAAATTCTAAACTTTCTATCTTGCTTATTACTTTTAAATGAAAATTCGATAAAATATTGCCAAAATTGTCAAAGATAAATTTCACTTCCGGTAGAATGACGCTCTTCAACTTTTTGCCTAGGAATAGGCAGTTGATAAATGAAAAATCTATAGTTTCTTCAATTATGGCTTTATTCATTTGGAATCTCTTTAGTTTTCCATTTTTACTGAGAAAATTTTTGAAAATGTCACCTTTAATTGACAAACAACAATCGTTGATAATAAAAGAGATAAGATTCCTTGAATTTTTTAAAATAGAACTCAAAACAATTTTTGTCAGTTGAGGATCATTTCCTGAAAAATTAATTTTTTCCATTTCTGTTGTTTGGCTAAAAAATTGCTGTAAATTGTCGTATTCATTTGAAGAGAAGTTGCAGAAAGATAAATTGATGTTCTTCAGCTTTTTTTTATTTTTAATAAAGTTGCTTAGAGATTCAAAACTTCCATCTGAAGAAAAATGATTAAGTGATATTACATCAAGAAGAGAAAGAAAAGAAAGAGAGAGTAGAGAAATGAGAGAAAATAGAGAGAAAGGAGAAGATAGAAAACAGGGAATATTTTCATTATATTATACTTTTTACTTACCCAAAAATTTGCAGTCAGATAATTGCAGTGTTTTCAACTTGTTTAGGAATTGAAATATTACGACATTCTTTATTGTAAAAATGATTCCGCAATCATCTAAAGACAATTCTTCAAGTTGGAAACTTTGTTCAGTACTATTGACAATGTTGCCAAATACTTCAACGTCAAGTTGCACATGCTTTAGACAAAGTTTCTTGAGCTTCTTAAAGGCAAATAACATTTCCGGAATTATGTAAAATGTCAATGAACCCTGCATTCCTCCAATAATTCTGATCTCCTCCAGATAATTTCTAAGCGTCACTTTTGCAGTTTGAAGAATCTCTCTTAAATTGAAATTGACAAGTTCAAGAGATATCTTTGTAACTTTAATATTCAAGAATAAAATGATTATCTTCCATACATTTGTTGATAAGAATTCTCCTCTCTGCCTCAATTGTCTGGTTTTTCTTTTAATGATATTCCGCTGGGCATCGCTAACAGTCTCCACAATTTCTAAGATATTTAGATTTTGCGAAAGAAAGATAAAAAATACCTCAGCATCTAAATATTGCAGAAATTTGAAAATATTCAACATTTTTACTGGATTAGTGTGTTTTTCAATGATGTTACCCAATTCGTACGCCTTCTCTTTGAAATGACCTTTCGAGTATGTACTCAACTTTCCACTTCTCATCCTTCTAATAAAAAAAATAATATACTCTGCAGCGAAATATTCCTTGAATTTTTCATTTAAAAATCGTAAATTTTCACTCCCAGTTTCTTTAATTAGAATACCCATTTTTTCTCCAATTTCGATATTATCGCCCTCTATCAACTCTTTTCCAAGTACAATATTCAGGAATGAAGCGCAAGATATTTGTCTTCTCACTTTGGTAAAATTCTCTTTGTATCTCTTCACTAAAACCTTTAGGAAACATCTAAAAATAGAATATCCATTGATCTGGCTAAATTGCTGTCTACTTTCATAGACAATTGCAGTTAAATAGGCTATTAGAGGGCATGAACAAGCAGTATACAAATTTCTTTCTTTAGATAACCATTTCATTAGATTTTGTACCATTTTACTATTATTCTTTGAATGTTTGTAAAAAAATTCCACCATTTGAGCTTCATTAAATCCTTTTATCTCATAAATGTACTCAAAAGTTTGCCCAACTTTTCTCATATCTTCACCAGTCCCTATCCAAGCTATTACTGGATAATCAATCTTATCTTCAATCTCTAATATATCCAAAAATGGCTTTAAATGATCCTTTAACTTTAGTTTGTCAATATCAATTTGATCTATAAACAAAACTGGTAAAAAGTCTTCATATATTGGAGATTCTGTAAGAAAATATTTAAGTAGGTCCTTAGTTATAGATGTAGATTTATTGAAATTTTGATCTAGAATTACATCGAAGAAATCCTGACACGACTCAACTTTATCAAAGTTTATTGTGAAGAATATGCAATTGTTAAAGAAATTGCTATCAGTTGCCCACAAATGAAGAATCCTTTGGAGAAGAACAGTTTTTCCCATACCAACGGCGCTGTGAACAAGAATTCTTAAAGCGGTTTTAGTTTTTCCATCTGTGGATTTCAGCTCTGTAAGAGGCGATAAGATATTTTGAAAGTGTTCACCAATAAATGACGACGCCTGACAAGTACTCTTAAAGATATCAATTGGTGTAAAGATACTTTCAATTCTCTCAATTTTTGTCGAATGTCCACAAGTTATTGTACTCAATTTATGTTTCTTATACAATCTCATTTCCAATTTGAGCATAACCCAAATATTGGATATCTTATTAGCCAACTGCTCATAACGACTTTTGCCCAATCTGTAAAGGATATCTGTCAATTGATACTCAGTAGAGATTTTCGTTTGGAGAAAAGTATCAAAATTTTCAAAAAATAACGCTTTATCCCTCGTTTCACAACATTGCGAAAGACAAGCGCAAAAGAACGCCCTATCGCCCTTAAGGGTGAGTATATCTTCTTTAAAGAACGAAATTACTGGATTTATCATTGGATTGGCAATACTTGCGAGAGCAAATACAAAAAGGTCTATTGGCAACAATCAATATGCAAACAAACAGATATTGTGACAAACAATAGAATTGCTAATGAAAAAACTGGCAAAGAGCAAGCGCTCTTCTCTTGAATACCTATCTTTTATTGTTAGAGAACTCTATTGATAGAAGAATATGCAATCATCTTATGAATATATATTGTCCTAGTTTATTACCAATTTTTTTAAGTAAAATAAAATATCCTTTCATACTAGTTTGTCAAAATTTTCAATAGATGAATCAGTTTTCTAAAGAGAAAGAAATTGAGTATTATTTGTTAAAAAAAGCTGGAAAACTACTCTGAAAAGATTTTGTTAGCTTATCCTAAGTGGTCAAAATGGCTATTAATTTATGAATGAAAGCAAAAATTTCGATTTTTTAAATAAATAATAGAGTCACCGACAAATGTTTTTAAACATTTTCATTTTTATGAGCAGCATGTCGCAAACTCAGTGAAGATGAGAGCAAAATTCCGATCACACCATTAAATTTTATTTTCAAGTGCATTCAACTAAACTTAAGACAAAATGGTGAAGTTCATGTTCAGATTCCTCCTCTACACCATATACAGATAGGGCTACAACCGATTGGGGGACCGCGAGAAGTGTCCTTTGAACACATAAAAGATAGGATAATTGTTTTTATAAAACATATATGTCACCTTGAACGGGGCGGGGAGGAAATGTCCCTGTAGGCTGAAGTTTAGGCTAAGATTTTGGGCATTTTCATTTCGATATTTTTCAATTCATATATGGCACAACTGAGGGTTAGGATGTATAAACTGCAAAGAATCTTGCTCAATGGGGAGTCAGGGTTTGGGTAAAACACCAAAAAACGGGTCATTTTCTTTCATACTCACTTTTAAATAAATTTTCCTAACTCTAGAAATGCCCAAAAATTTACCCTTACGATATATAAATCATCACTGCTTCACTCTAATCACCTGAGAAGATCAATCTGAAAACAACCTCAAGTTGGAGCAAGCCTTCTACTCTTCAAAATTAGAAGCTGGTAATTTGGCAACTAGCTATTACAAACAATCTTCTCTGCCATTGAACTTGTATATTATTACTTGCCTAAGTATTTCATTTTGAATGAACCATTTAAATGAAACATTTGTTCGAGTAGAACCAGTATTGTTGTAATATGCAAGCACATAAATTGGCTAAGCAGAAACAGTACAATAGATTTAGCATGAGTATATAAGAAAAGATCATGCCTGATTATTGTTTGTTATGTAAACTAACTCTGTGTATACAATACTGCTTTAGTACTAAAAAAAGAATAGGGGTGAAACCGTACCCGAATGAAACCGTACCTGGGCTAAATCGTACCCATTGTGGGTGAAATCGTACCTGGATGAAGTTTTAACTGTCAACATGAGAAAATTAAGAAATGAAATAATTAATTTATTTGTTTTAACAAATATGTCATATACAAGTACCGGTTTTTTTCAGGAGAGGACTGGAGAGACCTGAGGAAGTTGATGGTTTTACTTTTTCTACTTGCAGATATTATTACTCCTACATGTTTTAGCTTGAAGAGTCAGCTGGAAGAAAAGAGAAAATTTTCAGATTTGCTGGAATATTTTGAAAATACTTGGATTTTGAATTCTATTGGTCAATCTTTGGATTATTAATGTTGACTAATAATAGTTTGGAAGGATGGCACAATAGAATGAATAATAAAGTACAATCAAAAGGATCATTCTATTTGTTGATTGATGAATTGAAAAGAGAGGCTGATTTTAATCATATTTTTTTATTTCCATATGTATCAACAGCAACAGTTTTACTTGGTCATAACAAGAGATTCACCCCTATTGGGTACAGATTCACCCCTAATGGATACACCCTAAAAAAAGTCTTCAACTTGAAATAAAAAAGTATAAATAACCTTGGATTCAATTAATATCAATTAGAGTTCATAGCTCTATTTATTAATTAATTTTAATATAGAAATTAAATTGTACACCAACCACCAAATTTAAAATCTTTGTTTCTGTGGCCAAGACATTGTCCTTATTTTTTCGTACAGCAATATTTAAATAATGTATATTTCAGTAATTTAATGAATTAAGCGTTAAAGTAAATAGCATGTAAACCTAATACTGAAATTTTTACAAAAGTTTTAAGTACATGGTGAACTTTCCAAGTAAATTCTCTCCAAAGTGAAAATTACTTGCAATTTCTTGCTTGGACAGGGTTAGTTTGTATTATAGTTAAAGATTATGGTTTTAAATTTTGATTAGAAGGTTTGAAAAACATTTGTTTATAGATATCAATACTAATTTACAGCTTAATAAAAGTAGTTCACAATCAAAGTAGGTTTTATGAAAAGAGGTTGTTTTAAATCCAGTCATTGAGGTAGACTTTGGTTTGTTCAATGGTAAGTGGATAATAGACAATCTAACCCTTACTAATTCCACAGAATAAGATTTTTTGTATTACTACATGATAGACCTATTAATCTGAATGTAATTTCTAACGCACTTCTCTCATTATTGTTAGATAACCACCCATTTTTAGTCATGTTTCCTCCATATACGACGTAATGGTTTTGAATTATTATAATTAGTGTCCTAAAACTAGTACACATTTTTTACTTTTCTTTTCTACTCTTTTCGTGATTAAGATAAAAACTTGCAAATTTTCCAAAAAAGTTTTATTCATAATGAATTTAAAATATATGCTACAAATATTAATTTATTTCATAACAATGTCATAATACATTAAAAAACTAGAGTTCTTCTGGGTATATTTCGCTTATATTGGCCTGTCCTAATGTCCACTCTTCATTTGAAACTTACCATCATGATGAAGAAGTTTATGTTTATCATTTTCCTCTTTGATATTGGATCTTGTTGGTCATGTAACTTCCATTCCAATGTTTGGCTTAATCTCAATGAAATAAAGAATTCCATGGTAAGGCTTAGAAGCAAATTAGCTCCTAATGGTCAAAAGCCTGAAGGAGTTCCAGGCTTATTGGGTGCGTGCCATTTAGTCTACAAGCCAAATGTAGAACAAGTTCAGCAGCTGTTGAACACTATCAGATGGAATTTGGAGGAGTGCATTATTATTGGAAAACAGATAAAGCAAAAAAAATATGCTTTCTTTCATTTGTCTATATCTTCACCACTTTGTAATGTGGAAAGGACTATTTGGCCAACAACTCGACACTATGAATGTAAAGATTTTGGCAAGAAAGGTTTTAAAGACCATTATCTCTCTGCTGGTGCTGATCGAAGATTATATGACAATCTTACAAACGTTATAGACGCTTTAAATAAAATGATCTATTTAAGAACTACAAAGCAATTAAACAAATTTTGGGCTACTGTACTCTCAGAAGCATAGAAAACCATATCCTTGAATAGTATTTCCGTTTTCAAATTGGATTAACATGGTTAAATTACCAGGTTGTCAAGACAATATTATAGGCCTACTAGGTTCTTAAGCAATGAATGGCCGTACTATTTTTTCATTACTCTTTTTGAAAAGTAAAAATATTAGTAAGCTCTACTATTCATTGCGCTTATTTACCAGAATGTATTGAATGTTGGAGTTTATTTAACAATACAAATTACTTTTTCCCACACACACACACTCTCTTTCTCTCTGATTTAAAAATATGCAATTCGTTTTTGTAAGATTTTTTTCACTAAATTTCCAAAACTGAACAAATCCTTTCCAACGCTTCCTTCTTCTGCATTCCTAAGAAATTTTGATGACAAACTATACATTCTTCTCTTTCCTCCAATCTTTAAAGAATATTAACTTGTATTTTTTTATATCTATGATTTTACAATAAAAATACTTACATGAACTAAAATACTCATAAAATCAATCTTTCCATCATAGGAAAAATTGGAACAGTGAGCAGTTTTTAACAATTTAGAGATATCTTTAAAAAATCTATCAAGATTATTTATTTCATAAAAATTTGATGTGTTTTTTATATTATCACAATAAAATATTAAATTATTCTCTAATAGGATATTCTCATTTCTTTGCAAGAATTCTACATCTAGAAACAAACAAAAATGGAAAATGATATTTCTATTTAAAATATTTGGCTGCAAAAAACTCAGCCTTATTAGATTTATTAACAATTTAAATGGGTAGTTTCAAGAACCATGTCAACTCGCTTCTGCCTAAAAGAATAACAAAAATTAACTACTACCCTTTTAAACTCTTCGACAAAAGAAAAGAAGACAAAAAATCATTGTCGATTTTTTTTTTATCTTTTCCTAAACATCTGAAAAATTCAATGTTTTCTGCTTTCTATACTTACAAATATTTTTCTCTCTTCCTCTTCATGGCGGAATAGTATGATTTTCCATCACGAAGAGTGTATAGCAGAGGATTTATCACAGAATTTAATGGCAATATAATGATAACTATGGAAACGTAGATTTCTTTCTTTATCACTAAATTAAAGAATGCAGAGTATACTCCTATTATTTTAAAAGAGTAAATTCATCAGTATGACAAACATCAATATTTTAACTTTTAAAACGTAATGAAACTAAACCTAGAACAGAGATTGGAAACCAACAACATAAATTCGAAGTAACAATTAGAAAGGCATTTAATTTAAATTTATTCTGTTGACATTTAAACTGATCTTCCTTAATCAATTCTCTTCCAACAAGCGTCTCTCTCCATATTCTTAGATATAATCCAAAGATGAAGAGGCATATTGCAGAGATTGATATTCCAAAGATTATAAACGAGAATAGCCAACCTTCAATTTTCTCACTCGACATGTGAAGTGTAAAACATACTGCACTTCTTGAGTAGTAAGTCTGTAATTCGTTTGTTTGTCAATATAAAATCAATATTATTCTTGCTTACATCATAGATAAACAATGGAAAAGTAGAGATAAATGCTGATAAAATGAATACAATTATCACCAGCAACATTGTTCGATTTGCAGTAAAAATTCTCTTAAAGGGATAAATAATAATTATATATCTTTCTACTGTAATGAGAAGAAGACTAAGAGATGAGAGTAGAATAGACCAACTGCAAAACCATCCTAGAATAGTGCAAAATAGACCATTTCTCCAATCATAGTCATTTTCAATATAATTTCCTCTGAAAAATAAATCAACACTTCCAACAATAATCAAATAGATTGACATACAAAAATCAGCGAGTGACAAACTCAAATGAAACCAATTTTTCTGTTTCTTAGAGAGAATTCCTCTGAAAATCAATGATAAACAATTTTCAATGAAGCCAACTACTGCAAATATCCACAAAATTGAACGAAGAGAATCAGATTCTAGTAGATCTGTACAAGAATTGAATACGGATTTTGTTGGATGACATTCCCTTATCTTTTTAGAATACTGCCAAGAAAAACAGCAAAATGAGAAATATTCACTGTACAATATTTCCAATGACTGCAAAGGTTTTATCAAAGTACTCTTATATTTTAAGGGAAGTTCAGTTCTTTTTAAAGATAAACTCTTCAGATTCGAGAGAGCGGAGAATGCATTTTTACTGAAATCATGAATAAATGAAAAATCAATAACTAGAGTTCTGAGTAGTTTCAAATTCAAAAAGAATTTTTCACTCAAATAAGAGATGTCTGTAAATGTGAAATTGATAAATATCAAATATGGCGATTTTCTTAATGAAGTTTCAATGTTTGTCTTAATAATTCCACGATTTATGACGAAATTCTGAAGATTAATCATCGGATTAGAGAAGATAAGAGATAAATTGAAATCTTTGCAATTGATAAGAGAGAGATAAACTAGATTTGGATAGGATTTTGATAGATGAAAATTGAGTAGAGTGGAATTATGAAACAAGAGAGAAGTAGTTGAAAAATCTTTTGAGGATGGAAAGTTTAAAAATGTTGATTTATGATAAATTTCAATATTTTTAAATTTTGCAAAAAATATTGCAGTTGGATTATTAAAGATATTTTTGAATGAACATTGAATTGAATAGAATTGATTGCATTCACAATGATTAGGGCATGTGGCATTGAAATTGCAATATAATTCATCAGTTCCCATTTGACAATCAATTACTTGATTGCAGATATCAGACAATGGAGTAAACGTTCTCTGATTCCTGCATTTTAGATATCCTCTTGGCCTAAAGTTGTCTGTTAATTAATTTATGAATGTTAAGAATGAATTTAAATGAATAAGTGAAGAGAATTCCGTATCCCAAAACTCTCTTTTATAGCTTAAATAGTAATTTTAATGAATGGGAACAAGAGAAATTGGGATTTGAAAAGTATTCCTCACTAAATATTAAAAAATTTTAGTACCGCAATTAATTTCATCATCATAATGAGTACATTGCGCAATTCCATCACAAATGTTTTTAATTGACAAACAATATCCGGTATCTTTACACAAGTAATTGCCAACAGGACAAATTGTCTTATTACAATTTTCCAAAGCAAGGAAAGGAAAATGGACTTTTGTTAAAAGTTTACCAGTAGAACTATACTCAACATGACATTGTTGAGTATTTATATATTTGAAATTCAAACAGTCTTCACTGTCTTGTGAATTTTGCTTTAATATTTCGCAATAGCTCGTTTTCTCATCAGATTTATCAAAACAATCCATATGCATATCACAAATTTTCTCTCTTCCTATGCATTTATAATCGCATTCAAATTTCTTGAATTTCTTACATTCTACAAAAATTTTACTCTCTGTCAAGGTCAACGTCTCTCAAAAAGAATGATCTTATCATACCTTGTGTCCGCTGTTTGTCGATTGTAAAATTATCATTGGTGCACTTTTCGTCACTTCCATCAAAACAGTGTTTTTCATCATCGCAAATGAATTTCTTACTAATACATTGAGCATTATCACAACTGTAATATAATTATTTTTAAATGTTCTGATTATCACAATGTCAAGGTCATTTACTAATTTTCAGTGTCATTACATTGGAACGTCTCTAGAATATTTTAAAAAGGTGAACGAAATTTTTTTGTTTTTTGCTTCTTACCGCAATTCAACTCGTCCAACTTATTAGAACAATCATTGATGTAATCGCATACAAATTGACTCGGTATTGCAGTATTTTCATTGCAGTAGAATAGATTTCCTATTGTTGAGCAATTGGACTCATCTTCACCAGAAAAGCAGTCTTCTATTCCATCGCAAACATTAATGGAATTAATACAAATATTATCTTCTCTGCATTGAAAAAAATTGATTGGACAATCTAAAAAATCTTCATTTTCCACATCATTTGTCAGTGAAAAGTTGAAAGTATCTATTTGAAATATTTTCTTGATCACGTGATAAAATGAGAATTAAAGACTAACAAGGAGATTTACAAATGATTTCGGCAGTGAAGCTCCTATCGCAATTGAACGAATGCATTGAGTACTTGAGTTGTTTTGACGCTTGAACATTTTTTATATAATAGCATTTGTAACTATCTTTATTATGGAAAAATTCTTCGAATGGTGTGGTTTTAGATAATTTAAGGCACGATTTCAAAAGTCTATAGAATTTTGATTGTTTGTCATTAAAAATGATTTTGTATTGTTTGTCACCTGGATGAAAAATTAATTGTAAAACCATAGAAATTGTATGGTTTGTTATCGCTGTAGACAAGATGATTAAAACCTTTCGTATCAGTGATTGTACTCAACTCTGCAAATATTATTGCAATCAACCGTTTTTTTTAAATATATTTTAACCTACTTCCAGGTATTTTTTGTAAATTGTCCGCAAAGTTATAAAATGCATTTCCGGTTGCGTAATTAATAAATTCGAAATCTTGGTGTGAAATATAAGAGAAAGTTGAATTATATTTTCGACATTCATTTAAAGCATTATTAATTGACAACGAATATTCATATTTAATCTGGAAATAGCATCCGCCATTAAAATGGAATGATTTTGGATTAAGGCAATAAGTTTCTGTAAACAAAACATTAGGAAAAGAAAAATTTCACATATTTTCCTTTCTAAACTAACTATCATTATTATTGCATTCAAGAAGATAAGAGTCAAACATATCAGGCCTACTGAATCGACTAAAAATAGCAGAAAAAAAGGATGAAAAACAACAATTCTCTAAAAGAATAATATGAAAACCTCTTTTCAGCTACATGAAAAGAAATATTACATTGAGTAGTGTTAATTGAGTAGCTTGGACATTTTATTTTAAAATCATAGTTAGAATTTAATCTTAATTGATATGATTTCTTTCCAGATTTCAATCTACCGTTTTTAAAACCAAATGATCTGCAAATGCTAAAAGTTTCCATACTCTTCAATTCATCCATTGAAGATTTGTACCAGGCTCTTTTGTAATATATTAATAATGATCCAGTAAATTTATCGTCACGTGACTCCACCTCTCT